AGTTTTTTAAACAACCCACGTATATAACGTTAGCTGCTCTTCGAGTGGTGTTTTCAATTAAAAATAAATCAGGTGTCTTTTCAAAACACAGAAGATTTGGTGAATCAAGCGCAATCAGCAGGGTAAGTGTTGTGTGACAGTCCCAGCACACTTCATTAGGCTGCACCGTTGACACAGACAGAGCGTTGAAAGCTGAGCCTTTTCCTAATACCCCTTAATACATGTACAAGGAGGGTAAATTAGCTCTAATTACCCCAGTGATTTGTAGGTGTTGAGCCGGCCTGTGAGAGTCAGGAAGAAATGTTTGAATGAAAACAGCTGCCATATGCAGTTTTTAAACTTCTTCTCGTACCCATCGTCCCTGCTCTATTCCTCCTGATCTCTGTATTTATATAGATTTCTGTTCAGACAGCTGGTGCAGTGTTGCTGATTGTGTGCCTAATCATCCGCTCAATTACTCAAGAATGTGTAGCTGGGCCTTGTTATGACTGATCAGCTTGCCCGCTCTCACTCCTTTTCATCTCTTTTTCTGGACTCCGACTCTCTGGTCGGCTGCCCTAACCATCTGTTTTCGATATCTTCAACTCCGTTCCTGCTTCTTCAGCACTCAGTTCAAATCAGTTCAGTTCAGATCAGCTCAATTCAGCTGAAGTAATCTGTCAAGTTTGTAACTGTAGTTCCATGGTGGTACTTAATATGAGCTGGCAACCTGTTTTAAATGAAGCATCATTTTTAAACCACCTGTAACTGTTTTGCTCAACAGATTTCTACAAAACAAACTATATATATATATATATATATATATATATATATATATATATGTGTGTGTGTGTGTGTATATGTATATATACATATATATATATGTATATGTATGCTTAAATATTAAGGAATAGACTAATAGCATATATACATTTGGCAAAGGATCTTATTAGAAATAATTTACAACACTGTTGCTCAGACTGGAAGCAACAATAAAGATAATGAAGAAAAAAATAACAAAAAATAAATTTGCAGTACCCACTGGAGCTTATTACACTAAGTGATCAACAACCAGACATCGGATCTTCAGATTTCAGACGATGGCTTAAAAGAAAAAGGTCCAGATGTGGTATTGATACTAAGCAGCAGATGAGAATCCGGAATAAAAAGAAAATATATCCTGTCATTGTGGAAAATAAATACAACTTAATGTCAAAGGAATGACATGAAGTCTGGTCACAGAAAAAGGCAATCATGGCAATGAGTAGATGAGAACCCACAACCGCAGATTGGCTCTGGATTTATCCTTTTCTTATTTGAAATCTTTTGTGAATGTCCAGCCCAACGCTGCCGTGTGCACTTGTGTATGTCTGGGCCTGTAATTAGGTTTTTCTGATGAAAGTGTCCTTGTGAACCTGATTGCAGACAAGATAAAATGATCAAATAAAATAAAATTGTTTGAGACCACAACAAACATGTGAAATAAATAATATCAATCAGCTAAAAGCTTTAAGAAAAATTATTTTAATCTCTTCAGAATCAGCATAAATAATCTTCTATTTAATTTCCAATAACAATTTTGCACTACACATGAGTTTTCCCCTATTTTACTATGCATTTGCTCATTTCACAAATTTGTGGATGTATTTTTTTCCACAGCTTCCAGGACTGAGGTTGCTGTGTTTGGTGCTCTTCTTCCTGATGTGGAAGTGCCTGTGGTGATTCTGCAAGGCTGCCAGTGGGATGCCTATTAGCATGTTAGTGCACTACATGCTGATGCTTCAGCTACATGCTAATGCTAATGAGGCCACTGCCTGAAAGCTGCAGCCTTTTGTTTTCATCTTGAGATGAGCTCAAATATAAAAGAACAGCTTTAACAATTAAAATCCAGATTATTTCTTGACATGATAATACATATTACCTCTATTATAAAATATAAACTGAGACAAATCTACCAATTGAATTTAAATGCTCTATTTATAGTGGGATAAATATCTGTATATGTCATATAGAACGTAGTTATTTTTATATGTGTCTGCATACTGTTTTTTCTACATATAGTTAGTATATGTATTTCAAGTTTTTGTGTACAGTAAGTACAGTATATTACATTTTGCATGAGCATTCAGGATTTAAAGTGTTTTACTGCATTTTCTTTAACGGTGGGCTGAATTAAAGATTTTGTAGGCTGGCATTGTGTGTACATCATAATGTGAATGGCTATGGCACATTCTGAAATTGGAAGCAAGTATGACACATATTTAAAGTAACTTTTGTCATCTGAACTTTTTATATTGCAATTTATAAAATTCACCATTTAAAACAAATGAATAAATAAAAAACAGACACAGTAGAAATAATTAGCTTGAATGAAATTCGAAAGGAAGTGCCAATAAAACAAGTATTAGAATGTTCCATTATCATGGTTTGTCTGCCATGCTAGGTGTTTTTATTTATTTATTTTTAAGATGGATTGAAAAGATCAATTGTTTGTCAGGTAGATACATACACACATACTGTGGTGCACTTACATCTTCCCGACTTGTTGATCAGCTCAAATATTAAGACAAATAGTAATTTTTGACACATTTATCTTTTATCCACTGCAGCTACACGGTTAATATACCACATAGTTTTGAGAAAATGCTGAATCTCTGTTTTACACCTTTCACCTGATTTATTTTCTATGTGCAAGCTGCAAATTTAACTCCTGAATGGGTCCTGTTCCAGTTAGCCATCTGCCTGAATCCTTCATAAAAACGTATTCATTCTCCAAACTGAGATTGTTCAGGTCTACATCAGGCCCCAATTACTCACACATATACCACTTTTCTTCTTCTTTCGGCTGCTCCCTTCTTCAGGGGTTGCCACAGTGAACTACACTGCACAAAGACTTTGCAATTGTTTTTTTTTGTTTTTTTTTTGCCGAATGCCCTTCCTGACCCAACCACAGACCACCCAGCTACCACAGCCCTCTGTGTGGAGCATAGAGCTGCTATCTAGGGCACCCAGGGGAGCAGATGGTGGGGGTTAAAGGACTTGCTCAAGGGCCCAGAGTGGGACAAATAGGGGGAAAGGAAGGTGTGGGTGCTTCACCTTTCCCACCCACATTTTGATATTGTCAGTCCGAGGACTTAAACCAGTGACCTTCCGATCACAAGCCCACCTCCTCTGCGCCACCTCTCCCCCCACTCTCACTGTTTTCTGTTTGTGTGCGTCTGTGTGTGCATCATGATTTGTTGATGCTCCGTCTGGACATGCAGCTGTTGTGTTCCATATTCAATGTCCTGCTGTTTAGTCGAGATGGAGAATGAGATATACGTGGGAGCTGTCGCTGGAATGTAAGTGGGCTCGTACTGCTGATCGCACCACCTGGTCAGACCACTCATTGAAAACACACACACACACACACACACACACACACAGTCATGTTTTTCCATCCAATCAACAAGCTTCATTTGTTTACATGCATTTTTATTTTTTTTTTTACTTAATCTAACACTAACATCAACCTCAGACTAAATTTCTTCACTTAGATTTACTGGTTCATGTTATAGAGCGTTGTTTATTTGAAGTACATGTACACACAGTGGTATGCGTAAACAAGTCTTGCTGACTGCTGAATATGTGAAACTATTAAATATTCATTTGATCCTGGCACAAGTAATAAAATGTGCAATAAAAACAAACTTTTGCAGCATTGTACATCTTACCACTCCCAAAATGATCCAAATTAGAAATCGAGATTTTCAATCTGAGAGCTGACTAAATTTGTTTTTACTTGCAGTATAAGGGGAAAAAAAACATCTATAAGGGCTGAACCCAGTTTTTGTAAATATATTGATGCCGGTGAATGTGCATCAGTTTCACTTCCTGTCCAGACAGGAAATGGATTCTCTTAGGTGTTTTCCTTTCTTTTATTTATCTGGAATTATATTTTCTGTAAGGGAAGACAACGTGTCATGTTGTTTTGGCTTTTTTTCTTTCATGGATTGCAAGTGGATTATAGCAAACTTTTAGTTTTTACAATATTAAATTAGATTTTTATATTTTGAGTGAACTGCTTATTGCAACATAAGAGTGAAAATAAAAGCACTAGCATGCCTCAGATTAATGCATATGCCCAATCTCTTCCAGTCAAGTGTTTTAAACTATCATCTGATATTGAGATATGGCAGAGTTGTGGCTGATTTGGTCAAACCTTAAAAATAATGTGCAAAATCTCATGCAATATCATAAGAAGTCACACTCATAGTATGTGTTGTGAATATGTTTCAGCTACTACCACACCAAATTTTACCATTATATCTGTAAAAAAATGGCAAAATTATAGCCATTTTTGCTATTTTAGCATCTGTTGGTTGTGGCAGCCATCTTGAATTTGGTTGACTCCAAATATGAATCACTTGCTGATGCACAGTTTCTGCACAGTTCATTAAAACTCAAGTGATTCATGAGATATGTTGGTAACAAACAGTTACACAAACTAACATGGGCAAAAACATTTTTGTTTATTTGTGCCATTTCTGCAAAAGCTGGCAAAATTATAAAAAAAATGGAGCTTTAGCATCATTTCTTCAAGGTTTCGTCAGGAATTAGGGTAAAATATGTAATTGCCACAAAGTTTTTAATTTATTTATTTCTTCAACATACAGCAACAAGATTTACACTAAGCATTACCCAAAGGCAATATGGAACAGGCAGCATTTTAGCAAAAGTCATTTAGCAAACAACAATTTAACAAGGTAAAACAGTTCACATACAGCAGGCAATTTACTGAAATTCACAAACATTTACCGTACAAAACAAACTGTGGATCAAAGTCAGGCTCTTTAAACAGAACTGCTTGGTCTCACGTTGAAAGAAACAGACAATGTGCCATCAGAGAAAAGGTTTGTTTTTAAAGCTAGTAGTCGGTTTAGGGTCTTGACTGGCAGCCAAAGCATCAAAGTCCAAGCCTGAGTTCATTTCTATGATGATCATACGAAAACAAGGACCAAGCTACAGATATTCTATTTCTACTTTTTTTTTTTTTTTCAATACAGTGCTAACATTCAGCTATACATAAAAAGTCCTTTTTGGTATGAGCTGATATTTAGCCTTGAGTTCACCAGTTAGAACCAAACTGGTGTCTTTACTTTGGTCTGATCAATCGCTGCAAAAGAAAAGAAAACAAAACTGAAGTTTTAATGTTATTCTCATTTTTGGGCTACTACACAAATGCTACAAACGTTAATCTTCTGTCTTATCTACCTGAGTCATACACCTCCAAAGATCCATGGAGTGCTGAAGACGACCAGGGGACAGACGTTGCTGTGACGGGGCTGTTTCTGCTGAGATCCAACTCTGTTTTGCCCCCCTCGCTGTGTGGGGAGCTTCCTGCACTTCCTGCGACCTGACTTTGACTTCTAACGCCTGGCAAAAGCAGCGCATTGAACCTGGGATCCAGAGCTGGGCTGTGGGGAGGGTATGAGTGCAGCATGGAGTGGTGTCTTGGGTGGATGTGGGGGTGGGAGCGCGGGTGAGGATGGTAGACTTCATGGGGGTAGCCGCTTGGGCTCTGGGGGCTCAGACTGTAGGTCCAGGTGTCGGGGAGTGTGGCTGCAGACGGGATGCTGGCCTGAGAGATCATGTGGCCGGCCCACAGGGCTCCGTCTGGGTGACTGAAGGAAACGGGGCTGGAGGAGAACTCTGGATGGACCGAGACAGACACGGAGGGGAGGCAGGAGTTGCTCTGGGATGAAAAGACGCCACTCCAAGCTGAGCTGCCCTGAGCTTCAGGGAGGGAACCATCTGAAAAACATACTGTATTTTACTACAAAGCCATGTGCAAACGTTCTGAATGATAAACATGAAACGAGTTTTATTGCCCTGCTTACCTTTCCATAAGTTGTTTGAAGCAGACGGCTGTGTCACTCTGATTGACTTGGCCTCACTGCTGAAGGTGCTGGACTGACTGAGAGCACGAGAGAAATGCTCATCCACCTCATCCCCGATGTCTCCTTTAAAGTAGGTGAAGAGCACACAGCGAGAGCTCAAGTATTCAGCCTCTGCGGGCTGAGCGGCGTCCTTCTGCTCTGAAACTGATGAGGCTCGCCCCGGTTCAGCACCTGTTGATGCAGGACCCTGATCCTGAGGCAGCATTCCCTTTCCTCCTCCTCCTCCTCCTCCTTGCTGCTGCTGCTCCATGCACTCCTGCATCTTACTGTAAACATTCAGCTTCTTCTGGGGGCACACATTAAACAAGATGTTAACTGTCACATTGATGAATCTAATGAATGATGTGTGAATAATTTTGGAACAAGCACATCCGTGCCTCACATTGAACATTGTGGGGGGTGGAGGGTGGGGGGGAACGTGTTTGTTATAGGCTATTAAACAAAGCATTCAGAAGCAACTGTGTGAAATGCCTTTCTTTTTTTTTCCCCTCGTGCTGCATTCCAACTATTTGTCTTGCTGTGATCCACATTCCTGTGTGACTGACCAGCTGTCATTACATCACCATTTGACCACACGATTAATAGCTCGGTGTCATTACGCCTGACCTGAGGTGAATACTGAGCTCTACACTGGAATGCTATCATTCAAAAGTGAAACTGAAGTTTATATCTATACAAAATGTTATTTTTTATTTTATTTTATTTTTTTAAAGATAGCTTTGAAACATTTTTATAGCCTATAAGGGATACCCTATAGTTTATTTCTTAACTTTTTTTTCTCGATTTGAGCTGGGATTATAGAAAGTCAGAATGTCTAGCCATGAAAAAGTTCTGGCTGTCTCACCTGTTGCTGGTGGCTGCAGTACGTCGCCTTGTAAGCTGCTGCAGGGAGGTAGGGCGCTCCATAGCTTTGGTGGTACATCACATCCAGACAACTCATAGCGACAGAGCAGATCAGTGTGGAGAACGTGGCAGGAGACAGCCGAGGACAACTCCCTGAGACTTCAGACGGGCTGTGTCCTCCGAGCCAACTCTGGCTCCATATATGCCCAAACGCACACAATGACCATGTCGTCCAGTTTGCATGCAAACAATGCGCCTCCCCGCTGCGCGCTTCACCAGCACCACCCGGGAACACAAAATGGATCAAAACCGTATAAGACACGCGGTATATCCGGAGGATAAACAAACAAAAATAATCTTTATTGACCACTTTTCAGACTGCTTTTGGTTAGATAGGAATTCCCTTCTCTCTTTTTCTCTCCTGTTTTGAAGGGGAGTTATATTTAGAGAGGGCTGTGGCCGTTACGCACGCCCACCGGGGACTGGCCTGTGCGTTTGGAGGCTTCGCTCTTCATAACAGTGAAGTTTAATGTACAGGCTCAATGAATGCATTTTGTTTTGATCAAATATCATATAATTTTTAATTTAAATGGCATACGATCTATCAGGAAACCCATTAAAAACATAATGTTGTTAAAAAAGCGTTAAGGCATTGAACCCGAAATAAATTCGGATAAAACTAAAGTTTATTCTTCGGGGTGCCAACTAGTTTATAAATGAAACTATCAGGGTTTTTTGTTCTTCAAAAGACTTCTCCAGCTCTGTGAGCATATTAAAAAATATATATTTATGAGGCATGAGTTCAGTTTGAGCAACAGGTGCAAGTTCAACACCTGTGCGTCATGGTCTCTAAAAAAAAGATAAGTGCTGAAGAAAAAAAAAAACAAGGAAAAGGCAAACGCTGTGCGTGTTTAGGTGTGCGCGTGTCTTCGTCACAACTTGAGCAGTGCTCGTTGATTGACTGATTTGAGCTGTTTGCTGCCATCTATTGACGATGTGAATTATCAAACATGTTCAGCAGAAAAAAAAAAAAAAATTAAATATTTAAATAAAAAACTGCTCTACACAAAATGTCTTGTAATTCAAATAAGAGCTAAGTGTGTAGATTTTAATAACTGGTTAAAATAAATAACTAAATAAATAAATGTGTTTAATTAGGAGATGGTGTTCTCCAGACTCTTTGTGTCAATACAAGAAATATTGTACATTTATTTTGATGTATTTAGGGCAGCTTTATGTATACAGTCACGACATACATGATTATTGCACTATTGTCTTTATTATATAAACATACTTCTTAAACCTACAAAAGAGATAAAAATAAAACTGACTCATGCTTTTTTTTATTTTTTTTATTTACTGGAATTAAGACTTCACTTCCATCTTGCTTTGAAAAAAAAAAGCGTGGTGTATGTTGGATAATTTAATTTAATTATCCAATCATATTGTCCAACAGTGTAAATCTTGCTTTTCTCCACAAGTAGCAGCATAAATCCATCACTTCCACGATTTCAGAGTAGATTTTAAACATGATCTAAACCAAGGTGGTGGGAAGTAAGGAGGTGGAGGGTGTTGCAGCATGGATGCCATATCCAAATACAAAAATTAAAGAAAAGCTAAAAATAAAAAAATAAAAAAAGCTAAACATGTTAATAGTGCAGCGTATATTTTTTACATTCCCAGTTTTTTTTTTTTTTTACTTTGTATAAAACACATTGCTTTTACATACTTTTGTGCATAAATGTGTTTAGGCAAAAGTAATAGTTTATAAAAAATAATATTTTTTAGTTGTTTAATAACATTTATTTAAATAATAACTGATAAAGCATGGGATCACTGTGTAGCTGTTCACAAATTATACCTTTTTTGGAGAGGGTGTAAGCTCTGAACTTGTTTTGTACATTTGTGGATGAAGTTCAGGACAAAAAGCGATCAGATCATTAGGTCAGATTTAAACTTTATAGACATTGCAAAAGCTGTTTTATTGACCTAGCAGCATATAAAATTATATCTCCTGACTGGGTACATTACATTACATGAATGTGGCATTTTTAAAACGTGTTTAGGATTATAAAAAAATATCTCACCAACATCATATGCTCTTGCAACATCTCCAACTCAAATACATTCCCATGATTCCGTTTATTTTTCAGTTATTTAGTAAAAATGATTTGTACAGAAGAGCTAATAAAATAACAAATACAGGTCTAGTTAATGGGAATATGGTTTTGTGGGATGAGGTTTGGGTCAAATAGAATTTTTATTTGAAGTGAAGTTTCTCTAAAATAATCTCTGACCTCATAAATAATATAAAGTTTAAATGTTTGTGTTTGTTGTTATATAAAATAATTACAAATTTAGGTAAGACCTGTATCACCTGTATCATCAATTTGTACTTGCTTAGATTGATTAAATTTTTTTTAGTTATTTTAACACATATCTGCAGTATATTTTAAATTGATCCAGTCCGGTTACCCTGTGGAGGAAAATAATTTCAAACAGGCTGTATTCAAGATCTCTTTGATGCGTTTGTTGCGGTGCGTTCGTTGCGGTGCGTTCGTTGCGGTGCGTTCGTTGC